ACCCTAAACCCTAAACCCTAAACCCTAGAGCGCTTTGTCTCAAGGCGGCCCAGCGCTTGGGTTACATGTACATGTCATACGCGGGGCCTGAAACCCTGCCCCGGGCCTGAACACCCAAACCCTAAACCCTAAACCGTAAACCCTAAACCCTGAACCCTGAACCCTGAACCCTAAACCCTAAACCCTGAACCCTGAACCCTAAACCCTAGCCCAAACCCTAAACCCTAAACCCTAAACCCTCAACCCTAAACCCTAAACCCTAAACCCTACTGTTTGCCATCAATCCGATATATCCGAAGACCCTGAATCCCAGTGTTTCATGCCACATTTCAGTGCCACCCTGCTGAGGCGGAACATGAGCAGACTCAAAGCCATCCTTGCCCGCACCATATACAAAACCCAATGTTCAGTTTAGGGTCAGTGTAGGGCGTAGGGCGTAGGGCGTAGGGCGCAGGGCGCAGGGCGCAGGGCGCAGGGCGCAGGGCGCAGGGCGCAGGGCGTGGGGATTAGGACTTAGGGCTTAGGGCTTAGGGCTTGGGGCTTAGGGCTTAGGGCGTTTAGGGTTTAGGGTTTCGGGGTCTTTTGGGAATGTCAGATATTCAAAAAGTCAAAGCCACACCTAGGGTTTCGGGATCCTGTAGCGTACTTCATACCGGAAATATTCAACTGACTACATGGTCACTTCTCCAGAATAAGGTTCCTTATAAGGCGGCGCCTCTTAATGTAAAATGGACCCCGGCCATGCTACCCTAAGCTTAATTTAGGGTTTAGGTTTTGGGCCTTTAGGGTTTAGGGTTTAGGGTTTAGGGTTTAGGGTTTAGGGTTTAGGGTTTAGGGTTTAGGGTTTAGGGTTTAGGGTTTAGGGTTTAGGGTTTAGGGTTCCATAAACCCTACGTAGTTCTGACCCCGAAAGCCCTGATGCCCTAACCCGAGGCCCTAAGCTAGACTTAAACAGCCTGAGCCCGAATTCCTACTCCTAACTTCCTGAACCCGAAACCCGAAACCCTAAACCATGAACCCGAAACCCTAAACCCTAAACCCTAAACCCTAAACCCTAAACCCTAAACCCTAAACATCAGAACGAAGCTGGGGCGCGCTTCGCCGCCTCAGCATCCGCGCGCGCCGGGAGCCGCAGCAACTGAGAAGGGACCCTAAACCCTAAACCCTAAACCCTCAACCCTCAACCCTAAACCCTAAACCCTAAACCCTGAACCCTAAACCCTGAACCCTGAACCCTAAACCCTAAACCTTAAACCTTAAACCCCTAAACGGTGCCATAGGGTACCATGTGGGGGGGGGGGGGGGGTTTCGGGCCTGGGAGCAGCATATGAAGTGGGGCTTATATTTTTTGTATCCCCAAAAGGACACCCGGCACATACACTCACCAATATTAAAAAGGAACCTTATATACCCTAAACCCTAAACCCCTAAACGGTACCATGGGGGACCATGTGGGGGGGGGGGGGGGGGGCCTGGGAGCAGCATATGGGTCTAGGGCATGTAGCGGCTTTTAGGCTGGGAGACTGGGCTCTAGGGTTTAGGGTTTAGTGTTTAGGGCTTAGGGGGTTTAGGGTTTAGGGTTTAGGGTTTAGGGTTTAGGGTTTAGGGTTTAGGGTTTAGGATTACAAGTAGGGCTAGAAGTACCCCCCGGCCCCGCCGGGCCGCCCCCTCAATTGTTTCTTGTAACCATTTGTATTTCCAGCTACCCTACGTATAGTCTCACTGATAACTGCCCATGGCCCATGATTTTTTCAGTAAGGGTTTCCAAGATCGGGCTTACTGGGAAGATCGGGGGACTTACTAAGTGGCCTCGAGACTTTTCGGCAATGGGCCGTGACCACATTCTCCGAGTACTTCCGCTTGGCACCGTCTCTCGCCCGAGACGTACATGTGGTGGGCCCGTTCCCGGCACCGCTCCGCCAAGTTGAGGACCTTGCGGTTCAGAGGCGCCACGGGCGCAGCGTCGGCCTTCCTCCTCGCGGAGGCTCGCAGGTCTTGCTGCACGTCCCGCATGTCTGGAGTTCACCTGGGGCCAAGATGTCCCGCTATGGACACGAGCTTTGATGCGCATGCTCCCGGCACTGAGCTCAAAATAGGGTTTGGGGCTTAGAGTTGAAACCCTAAACCGTAAACCCTAAACCCTAAACCCTAAACCCCAGGCCCTGTTTCGGGTTTAGGGTGGGTTTTGGATCCATAGGGTTTAGGGTCACGGGCGAAAGCGACTCAAGAACCCTCAGCCCGGGTTTGGGGTCAGGGCTTAGGGCGGCTTAGGGCTGAGGGTTCTTAATCCGAAGGCCTAAGGCCTAAACCCCAAAGCCCAAAAGACCTAAACCCTTCCTGAACCCTAAACCCTAAACCCTAAACCCTAAACCCTAAACCCTAAACCCTAAACCCTAAACCCTAAACCCTAAACCCTAAACCCTAAACCGATAAGGATCAGGTTAACCCTTGCAGTGGCAGGTGACTTAAACTCCCCAGCAAGGTTGAAGCTTACCTACTTGGAGGTTCATGGCTACATAGAACCCCAACTCCAAGTCTGCTTATGGGGCTTATAAGTACCGTTATACTTGAGGTTATGACCCTAAACCCTAAACCCTAAACCCTAAACCCTAAACCCTAAACCCTAAACCCTAAACCCTAAACCCTAAATCCTGAACCACCAAGTACCTATTCAGCAGCTAAGTACAACCCTAAGCTCTGAACCCAGCCAGAGTCCGAAGGCTTTTTTTGACCCAGGAACCTTGAGTCAGGGCCAGGGTTTGGGGTTTAGGGTTTAGGGTTTAGGGTTTAGGGTCTAGGGTTTGGAGTTTAGGGTTTCGGGTGCTTCAAGCCTATAGAGAGTCAACCTTAGACCCTCCTGCTCCACTGTCGCCTTGCGTGGGCTGCCAGACATGGTGCCAACGCGAAACCTGTTCAGGGTTCAGGGTTCAGGGTTTCGGGTTTAGGGTTTCGGGTCTGGGGCTTAGGGTTCAGGGTTCAGGGTTTAGGGTTTAGGGTTTCGGGTCTGGGGCTTAGGGTTTAGGGTTCAGGGTTTCGGGTTTAGGGCGTCTTGCCGCGCAGCGGCAGTAAGATGTGGAAATGGCGCCCCGACACACCCAGGGGTGTGGGGGGGGGGGGGGGGGGGCGAAGGCATGGGTTTTCAAACGCAGTGCAACCATTTCATTGGTGCTCGACTTCCTTTTTTGCCCCCCCCCCCCCCGCGCTGTTGTGAGCTGTCACAGGCCACCACCACAGGGCAGCAGAAGGGTTCAGGCCAAGGTGGCCAGTTGGGGGCCAGGCCAGGTTCCGAGCAGGCGGGCCCCAAAACGGGTTTAGGGTTTAGGGTTTAGGGTTTAGAGTTTAGGGTTTAGGGTTTAGGGTTTAGGGTTTAACTCGGCAAGGATCATGAGCTCTTCTAGACCCAGGAGTAACCTTGGAATGAAAAGGGTACCTTTTTTTGGGTTTAAAGGGATTTACAAGGGAGCCCAAACCCTTCAAAAAGTGGATAAGGGCCTACTCTGGGTTCTAGTGATTTAAGAAGCCTACCAGGCAAAATGGATTTGGGGCTTCGGGCTGGCTGGTTGATAGATTGGTTGGGGCTTATAGGGCTTAGGGCTTAGGGCTTAGCGCGTAGCGCTTCGGGCTTAGGCTTCGGGCTTGAGGCTTCGGGCTTAGGGTTCTAACTAAGTACCCCAACATGAAGTTATGAAGATCTAAGCCGATTAGAGCAGGTGCCCTACTTCACACGCCATGTATGCATGCCCATGAACTCGGAACCTCCAACGATGGTTCAGGGCTCAACCTCATGCGCCGAGGGAACCGTGAGAAGAGCAGAGCCATGTTTTTGGTTCAGGGGTATCCCTGAATAGTTCAGAGGGTATAGAGATTGGCGAAAGTAACCCCCGGGAAAACTTCTGATTGAGTAGGTTTGGCTGATGATGCTTAGGGCTTAGCTCCTGAGCGCAGCGCGGGGCGTCGTGGCTGCGCGCGTCAGCTGCCCATTGCGGTGTCAGTTGCCAGGGGTGTGCTGGAAGCTGCACGGACTTTCACGCATAGATTGTGTACTTACGATGCATGCGAGTTAACCATAAACCCTAAACCCTAAACCCTAAACCCTAAACCCTAAGGACCAAGGCTTCGGGATAAGAGACGTGGGATTGAGGCCACCATTGAGATGTGAAGTTCTCCTTATAGGCTCCTTCTACGGGGGTTTCCCATTATAGGGTACCCTTCAAAAAACCCCTAAATAGAATAGAATCCCCTTACAGCGACCCCCAAAAAGAACCCTAAACCCTAAACCCTAAACCCTAAACCCTAAACCCTAAACCCTAAACCCTATAAAACCTAAACCCTCACATGACGTGGAGGCGCCCTTCGATGCGTCAGGCAAACGCCATGCACTAAGCGGGCCGCAACGTTGCTCCCGCGCACCCACCTCCGAGACCTCATCCTGAAAACCTAGCGCTTGGTTTAGGGTTTATAGGGTTTAGGGTTTAGGGTTTAGGGTTTAGGGTTTAGGGTTTAGGGTTTAGGGTTTAGGGTTTAGGGTTTAGGGTTTAGGGTTTAGGGTGTAGGGTGTAGGGTGTAGGGTGTAGGGTTTAGGGTTTAGGGTTTAGGGTTTAGGGTCATCTCGAAACGGTTGGCGTTTAGGTTTTGGACTTCGCGTTTTGGGCTTACAGGGCTTATAGGGTGCAGGACTTTATAGGGTTTAGGGAAACCACATGCTCGGATGTGGGCCAAATGATTGCGTGCTTCCTGTTTTTGTCGGGCAATGACCTGGGCCGAAGCCGTATGCCTTAAAACCCTAATGCCCCGAAAGAAAAACCCAATACCCCCAAAACCCCTAGTACCCTTAAACCCTAATACCCCTAAACCCTAAACCCTAGACCCTATAGACACTAAACCCTAAACCCTAAACCCTAAACCCTAAACCCTAAACCCTAAACCCTAAACCCTAAACCCTAAACCCTAAACCCTAAACCCTAAACCCTAAACCCTTTTCACGCTGGCGCTCCAGGGCTTTAGTCGCAGACAGTCAGCTCCGGAACTGGCGCCTCCGAGATTCGCCGCGGTTCAAGGTCTAGGGTTTGGGGGTTAGGGTTTAGGGGTACTAGGGTTTAGGGGTTCAGGGTTTAGGGGGTTAAGGGTATGAGGGTTTAGGGGTTCAGGGTTTAAGGGTTTTTGGGGGTTCAGGGTTTAGGGGTTCAGGGTTTAAGGGTGTAGAGTTTAGGCTTTCGGGAGTTCATGTTGTGTTTGTTGCGCCAGCACCGAACAATTAAACCCAAACCTGGCTCCAAACCCGAAGGCTCTCAAACCCGCAGCTTGGGATGTTACTCCCTATACTAACAGTCCCTAATAGGGATTATAGTGGGGGGGGGGGGGGTGTACTATGATCCCTGTTAAGAACTGTAACAGTGCTGAACAAGGATGATAGTAGGGGTTGCTATAATCCCGATTAAGGACTGTTGGTATACGGGGGGAACATCCCAGCCCTCAGCCTAACGAAATGATGGATGGCTTTGCAGAATTAAGTGGGGGGGTTTGCGATAATAAGGGACCCCTAATGTAGACCCCCAAATAGTAGGATCCCCTTATCAAAACCCCAACAAGGTACCCTTCATGTCGTAAACCCTGAAGTCCTAAAACCTTCAAACCCACACCCCAATTCCTGACTTTGCATCGGGGCTTTTTACCCTAAACCCTAAACCCTAAACCCTAAACCTTAAACCCTAACCCCTAAACCCTAATTACCCCCTAAACCCCAATCCCCAAACCCCAAATCCCAAACCCTAAACCCTAAACCCTGCACGCCCTAAACCCTCCCCCTCTTCGCAACATGGCATGTTGCCTCTGAAAGTCTCATCTTCGAAGTCGGCGGCTCGTCCGTTGCTGCGGGCCTGGCTTTGCTTTGGAGGGTACGTAGGGTTTAGGGTTTAAGGTTTAGGGTTTAAGGTTCTGGCCCGAGCCCCTTCCAGTGGTGGAGCTGTTTACTACTAATCGCCGGGGGACTGCCATGATGTCAGGTAAGGTGCCTTTCGTGGGCTTGACGACAAGCAATAGCTGGACAGCGCTCATCCAAACCGATTGTTTCACAGGCCTTGTCCTGTGTTGTGAGGCGTTAAAACATCGCGATGCTTCGTTGCAGACTGGCATATGCGCTCGGTGTACTCCTGAAACGACAATCCCACAGTCCAGTCAGACCTTTCTGAAGTGGGCTGCGGGCTCTTGCACTGCTGCCGTGCAGGGGCATTTTCTGTTGTATCATCAGTTTGCAACACTGCTGGTATTGCAATCGTACCCATTTGCAGAACACTGGTTGTCGAATGCCTGCAACGTGTTTGATGACAAGTTTGGACCTGCTGCCGTTCCTGACGAGCATAATGCCCGAACGGGTGCTGACATGATTTGGCTGCCGGGCGCAGTGGCCCTCTTGCTCTGTAGCCTCTGCGTTCAGGTCCTTGAGTGCAATTTCAGGTTAGCGGGAAGTGAGCACGTGGAGAAACACATGCCTGACTTGAAAACTTCGAAATTGTCCTTTATGTCTGCGTGGTCTCGTTTGTCTTGCTCTTCTACCAGTTCGAGCTCAAAACCCCAAGGCCATGTTATGGACATCGCAGCTTGCCCCTCTGGGATCTCTTACTCCTTCAGTTCTGAGTGGCCAACTTGAGCCACAGGGTTGCACAGACTTTGTGTTTTCCCTACAGTTTGTTCCTTTCAGTTTCGAGTGTGGCCACGTCAGATTGGCTGCACATACAAAGTAGTCTTGAATTTCTTGTCATACCACCGCTGGCATCTGTCCAGCGAGGTGGAAACAGTGTTCACCGGCTCATATGGTCGGGTGTTTGTGTTAATGTTCCTCGCGGACTCTGTACGGAAGGCGGCTGCGGGCGTAACCCGCAGCCCTCTTTGATGCAATTGTTCTGCCGACTTCTGGTCATCCAGGACAGGACTGTGCTCGCCGCACTGCCGCTGTGCGCGAGCGCTTCAACGGTGTGTGTTAAGGTTTAGGGTTTAAGGTTTGGGGTTTAGGGTTTAGGGTTGAGGGTTCATAGAAAATAGAAATTGTATAGGGCTCGTGTCCGGCTATTTTTTGGGGAGGTTTTGTCAAGTTTTGACGGGTCTTGTTTTTTTGATTTTGTTGCTGCCTTTTAGTGCACTGAAAGACATACGTTTAGTGTTTTGTTTGTGGGTTTTGTTGGGGGGTTTTGGTGGTTTGGGGGTTGTTTTCGGTTCTTTGCTTTTGATTGCAGATGTTGGGGCCCTTATGCGGCTGCGAGTCCTGTTCTCTTGAAGCCTTTTGGCCTTTTGGGTTCTTTGAAGGGTTATTGTAGCCATCGAGATTTTGCGAATTCTGAGAAATTGAAAGATTATTGTAGCCCCTCGAAATTGCAAGTTCTTAGTGAATCACATACAACTTACTTGAAGGTTCATAAGTAGTTCAATCTAGGACCATAAGTACCCCCAAGATTGTTGTAACCAACTATAACTCTAGTCACTCTACTGTAAAAGTCCTTTACAACCCATGAGCGTCCAAGTACTTCCACGGCAGAAAGGTTTTGGCTTAGGGCCAAGCAAAGTAGACCCTTAACCTTAAACCCTAACCCCTAAACTCAAAACTCTACCCTGAAGACAATAGGCAAGTCAAGCGAAGTCCAACTTTGTTTTCCTTTCCAAAACGCTGCAAGGAAGTCACCACAGAAAGGTTGAACGCTCAACCGCTGGCATCGGGCTCTACCTCGGACCCTTAAGGTTCTACCCTTGGGTTTGGGCGCCCTCGTTAAAGATCCCTGCGGGAATATAAGGGCCATATTGGGAGTGTGTTCAGGGAACCTTTAGGGGTACAACCTTAGGGGTACGAGTCTTAATCCCTTGAGCGGAGGTTCAAAGTGTAATTAGCTGTAGTGGGATGAGAAGTAGGGCAAGTGGAACTACGTATGCTGGGTTATACTCCCGTTTCCTGTTCCTTGCAACTTATAACCCTAGACCCACAATCCCTAAACCATCAGCCTAGTATACCACTTATCACTAGATAGCTGGTCCAAGGCCCGTGAAGTCCTAAGAGCTGTCTAAGCGCTCTTGTGACTTCTGAACTCTGAAGTCTAAACCCTAAACCCTAACTGAACCCTCAACCCCAACCCCAGACTCCAACCCCGCTAAGCCCTACACCCCGAACCCTAAGCCACTGGATGCTCCTCATGAAGCCCCTGGTTGCAAGTTCATGAGCACTTAGAAGTGAGGGAATTCGGGGAACTAGGTTTCTAGTTGGTACCCTTGGTACTTCCGCGCCTACTTGCATCTCTAGCCATCTAGTAGAAAACCTAAAACATGAAACTCAAACCGTCAGCCAGTCAGTCCTGGCTACAACTTTTAGAGACAGCACAACCCTGCAAAGGGTTTAGGGTTCAGGGTTTTAGGTTTGGGGTTTAGGGTTATAGGGTATAGGGTTTAGGGCTTAGGGTTAAGGGTTTAGGGTCCTTCAAGTAGACCTCACTAGAAGGCGCCTCCGCCACGGCGCCGTGTTGAAGGCCTTGGCGCGCGCCCGGCCTGGAGTAAACCCTAAACCCTAAACCCTAAACCCTACCTGTTAATCCTGGCGGACAGAAATTTCTGTCCTTATGGTTTTTTCTGGTTTTTTGCGTGCAAAAGCGAGGTGTTGGTGTTCTATTGGGATCGGGGAATACGATCAAAGCGGCTGGATTTTCGGAGTTCAGGGGAACCTTCCCGAGCCCTGTGCAGAGTCTTGTGCACCAAAGAATAGGTGACCTGAGCAGAACACAAAAAGCGTACTCTGAACCCAACGTTTTTCCAACATAATGTTGGGTTTTGTTGGTTTTGTTTTTTTTTTTTGGGGGGGGGGGGGGGTAGCCCAAAAAAGCGTAAACCGTACCGAATCCGTACTTTGTTGGAAAAATGTTGGGAAAATGTTGGGAAAAAAGCGTACCCAAAACCCAACGCAAACCCAACAAGAGGACACTTTTTCTGAAAAGGCCACTTTTTCTGCAGAATTGTGTGGGTGTCTGGTTTCCACCAGGAAATAGGTTTCTGACCATCATTAAAGCGGACGGATTTTTTGCGCGGCTGGATTTTTCCTGCCTCTTCAATAGGACAGTTTTTTATGGAACGGGGGATTGACAGGTAAACCCTAAACCCTAAACCCTAAACCCTAAACCCTAAACCTAAGCCCTAGACCCTAAGCCCCAGTGAATCGGAAGCTCTCAGCCTCGATCCCTTAAAGAAGCTTATCATCCCAAACCTCGGCCTCTCGGGTTGGGCTTAGGCTTACCCTAAATGCCTACATCCTTGTGTTTTAAACCTTAATCCCTGAACCCTGAGCCCTAAACCCTGAACTATAGGGTTTAGGGTTTAGGGTTAGGGTTTAGGGTTTAGGGTTTAGGGTTTAGGGTTTAGGGTTTAGGGTTTAGGGTTTAGGGTTTAGGGTTTAGGGTTTAGGGTTTAGGGTTTAGGGTTTAGGGTTTAGGGTTTCGCCACATGGGGTATGGAAGCAGGCCGCCCGGCGCGGGGAAGGCTGCATGAAAAGAACCTGATGTTCTTGACAGCTAGATCCCAACCCCTTTCAACCCTAAACCAACTCAACCCTAAACCCTAAACCCTAAACCCCAAACCCTAAACCCTAAACCCCAAACCCCAAATCCTAAACCCGAAACCGCTTCCACTTAGGGCTGGCAACCCTCAAACCTATCCTCGGAGACTGGATGAACAATAAGAAAGGGTACGGGTTTAGGCATTTAAGGTCGGAAATTTGGTAAGCTTTGTAAGAGAAAAGGGGAGGGGGAGGTGTGACTCAGGGGTTTAAGTGCTTCAAGTGCATGGGGGTTTGAATCCTGCTTCATCTCAGGGCTCACCCTAAACCCTAAACACTAAACCCTGGACCCTAAACCCCCAAAGCCATCCCACTGCCACGCCTGCGGCAATTTGCCGCAACATCTCCTGCGTGTGGGCAGCTTGCATCGGCGTCACCGCCGCCTGCTGATTGGGCGGTTTAGAATTTAGGGATTGGGCGGTTTAGGGTTTAGGGTTTAGAGTGTAGGGTTTCGGGTTTAGGGTTTAGTTGATTTGGGTTTCTTGAGGGGTTTAGGCCTTTACGGTGCTTAAACTCAACATCGCCCAGGGGACGCCCAAGAAAGAGCACGTGGGGAACGATCGCAGGCAAGCCACGATGAATGACCCAGGGACCCCCAATATCCGGCAGGACTTAGGGCGAAGCAGGGCCTAAACCCTAAACTCTAAGCCCCAAACCCTAAAGAGGGATGGTAATCTTATAGAGTTCTTAAAGGGAGGAGGGTTCGAAAGGGGAGTTGGTACCGAGAGAACGTTAGGAAAGCTTAGGGAGCCTTAGGTAGTATGTAGTAGGGATTATTCGGAGCCTTGGCTTACATACCCCCCCCCCCCCTCCCCTTAAGAACCCGGGACCCCCCCCCCCCCCCTTAAGAACCCTGTGAGTATCCGTAGGCCCTTACCCTTTTGGGGCTTTAGGAGCTTCGGCTGGTGCCTCCCCTCTCTGTGATCAGGTCTCAGAACGATTCCTCATCACTAACCCCCCTAAATCCTAAACCCTAAACCCTAAACCCTAAATCCTAAATCCTAAACCCCAGACCCTAAACCCTACACCCTAAACCCTAACCCTAAACCCCAAACCCTGTCAGCTGCTCTGGTGAACCCCTAAACCTTAAACCCTAAACCCTAAACCCTAAACCCTAAACCCTAAATCCTAAACCCCAAACCCTAAACCCTACACCCTAAACCCTAACCCTAAACCCCAAACCCTGCCAGCTGCTCTGGTGAACCCCTAAACCTCAAACCCTAAACCCTAAACCCTAAACCCTAAATCCTAAACCCCAAACCCTAAACCCTACACCCTAAACCCTAACCCTAAACCCCAAACCCTGTCAGCTGCTCTGGTGAACCCCTAAACCTTAAACCCTAAACCCTAAAACCTAAACCCTAAACTCTAAACCCTAACCCCCTTCATCAGCCCGCTGCCCCAAAGCCTGAGCTCCTCAACCTGAAGCCCTGAAACCTTCTCTGGCTTGGGCTTGAAATGTGTTTGTCTTGGTTTGGGGTTTAGGGTTTAGGGTTTAGGGTTTAGGGTTTAGGGTTTAGGGTTTAGGGTTTAGGGTTTAGGGTTTAGGGTTTAGGGTTTAGGGTTTAGGGTTTAGGGTTTAGGGTTTAGGGTTTAGGGCTTAGAGTTTAGGGTGTAGGGTTTAGGGGTTAGGGTTTAGGGTGTCCGGGGTTCGATTTTCAGGGTTCGTAAGTATCGTAAGCCTGAACATTAACCGGCGTGACATGTGGTTGAAAGGCTAAACCCTGTATAACCCAGACACTACGCCCTCCACTTCCCCCCGCGCCGGCTGGTGCGGCGCTTTCGGTGGTGGTCCGCAGTTGGCGTGGCCAGTGCCGCCACAGCGAAGGCATCGGACCTATGTGAAGTAGAGTTTGTATTTCTAGCTTGGAAGCCCTTTTGACCTAGCAAGTAGGGTTGGTAAGGTGGGTTATGGCGATTACAACATAGGGTTTCTAGGGGATACTAAGTAGACTTACTAAGTCAAAGGAGCTTCCAAGAGCACTAGGGGCGCTGGGTCGTAGAATCCCCCAGAAAGACACACCATATAGCCACACCAGCATTCACAAGGAACCACATGTAGAAATATATGCACTTACCCTAAACCCTAAACCCGAAACCCTAAACCCTAAACCGGCCAACCACGAGCAGCAGTATGAACCAGAACTCCTGTGGCGGTTCAGGGGTTTCACCGGGCCGGTTTAGGGTTTAGGGTCTAGGGTCTAGGGTTTAGGGTTCAGGGCTTTCATAATGGTTTTAGGGTGCAGGGTTTAGAGGCCTTGAGATTAGGGTTCCATGCTTCTTTCCACCAACTCGGAGCACTGCTTGGGGGTGGTGGGGGGGGGGGGGGGGGGGGGCTGTGTGGGGGGAGGTTGGCCAGGGTTTCGGGTTTAGGGTTTAGGGTTTAGGGTTGAGGGTTTGGGGTTTAGGGTTCACTGGTTCAGGGACTTGGGGGTTGTGATGGGTTCAGGCCTCTAAGATCCTTTCTACATGTCGACATTCGACTTGCACTTTGAGCCGCCCCAAGCCCTAAACCCTACAGTAGTTTTAGGGTTTAGGGTTTAGGGTTTAGGGTTTAGGGTTTAGGGTTTAGAGCAGGCGGACACGTGCCAAATATTCGGATCTAAGGTTCAGGGTTTAGGGTACCTTGAAGCACAAGATGTTCGACATTGTTGGAGGTTTAGCTCATGGATCCCCATAGCAATACTTTCCGCTCACCCCCCCCCCCGCTCCTCTAGGCACCAGAAGGTTTACGAGCCTATGCTTTGCCACCCTAAACGCACGCGCACACAAAGGGCAGAGGGCTTATGGGGTCTGAACAGGCACAGTTATAGATGCCTTCAAGTCAAGCTTTAACCGGAAACCTTAAGCCCTAAACCAAAAAAAACCATACCCTGAACCCTAAACCCTGCAGTTTTGGGGTAACACTAAACTTTACAAACCCACGGACCTTTACCTCAAACCCTGGCCACATCCGCCATGCCGTCACGTTGAATTTCCACAAACGTGACAAACGAGGTCCTCCGACAGACGGCGCGCAGGACGCACAAGTCCTTCATGTTCGCATACCGAGCCAGCGATGCCAGCGTCTCGGCAGTGGCTCGCCGGAACGTTGAATGGGGCTTGTCCGACAGGGAAGGACGCCAAAACCTGCTTCGCTTGCCGCTCTGCCACCTCCGTTTCCAAAGGAGCCTCAAGTGCTTCAACACGGGCCCACAGGTCATTCCAGGCTTCGCACTGTAAAAGCCAGTCTGTATGCCAGCACGTATGCCTTCCACGACGCATTCCAATACCAAAAGACCGCAATTTCCGCTGCGAGTGGGGGGGGGTGTTGAGGGCAGGGCGGGGGCGTGGGCATGCAGTGGAGCCCTAAACTCTGCATCTGGATGAAGCAAGCTGGGCGGGGGCGGGGTGGAAACCCTAAACCCCAAACCCTAAACCCTAAACCCTAAACCCTAAACCCCCTAAAAACCCTAAACCCTAACCCTAAACCCTACACCCCCTGAACCCCAAACCTTTTTCACCCCCCAACCGTTTTCTCCTGAGCCCATGGCATGGCTGAAGTCCTTCCTGGGCAGGAAGGTCGGGTTGAGCTTTAGCCCTAAACCCTAAACCCTAAACCCTAAACCCTAAACCCTAAACCCTAAACCCTAAACCCTAAACCCTAAACCCTAAACCCTAATCCCTAAAGCCTGTAGGGTCTAGGGTTCCGGGTTTCCTAGGGTTCAGGTTCCCTGAAACCAGAGCAAACCCTAAACCCTAAACACTAAACCCTACACCCTAAACCCTAAACCCTAAGGGAATAGAACCGGGCCCTAGGCTCGGCGCCCGGGTTTCGGAGGGGGAAGCGATTGAAAGAAGCTCTGGGACGGTGGGGCGGTAGGGTTTAGGGTTTAGGTTCAGGGTCTTGGGCTTAAGGTTTAGGGTTTAGGGTTTAGGGTTTAAGGTTTAGGGTTTAGGGTTTAGGGTTTAGGGTTTCGGGTTTAGGGTTTCGGGTTTCGGCTTCAGGGTGTAGGGTCGGGGTTCTCAGGTTCGGCACGTTGGGTTCCTCAAGAACAAACCCTAAACCCTAAACCCTAAACCCTAAACCCTAAACCCTAAACCCTAAACCCTACACCCTGCACCCTAAACCCTAATCTTCTGCGAGACAGCATCAACAGCCAGATCTGCCTGGTGCCCCTGCCCAAACATGGTTTAGGGTTTAGGGTTTAGGGTTTAGGGCTTAGGGTTTCGGGTTTAGGGTTTAGGGTTTATAAGTGACCCCTAATATATAGACCCTGCCAAATAGCACCAGTACTGTAAGGTACCCCCCCCCCCCCCCCCCCCCCCCCCCCCCCAAATTTTCACTTAGAATAAGGACCCAAGAGGTGCCCCTAAGTTCGGAAACCCTAAACCCTAAACCCTAAACCCTAAACCCTAAACCCTAAACCCTAAACCCTAAACCCTTAACCCTTAACCCTAAACCCTAAACCTTAAACCCTAAACCCAAAACCCCTAACCCTGAACCCTAAACCCAAAACCCAAAACCCTAAACCGGTACTCCAACGGCAGGATCGAAATGCGTCCGCACCCGTGAGAGTAAACAAGAGTGCTGGGGGTCAAACATCTCAAGGCCGGAAGCTTGCAAGTGCACGTTCATAAACCCTAAGCCCTCAACCATAAACCGGGTTTAGGGTTTAGGATTTAGGCTTTAGGCTTTGGGGTGTACGCAAATCCTAAGCCTTAAACCCGAAACCCCACACCCTGAACCCGAACCCTTTTCCGCTTGACCCTTCGCATCGGCATGCAAAGCAAGGGGTGTGTACTGGGGCGGGTCTAGGTTAACATGGGTCGGGTGCAACTGTCTGGAGACTGGCAAGTTTTCGGAAACTCTGGTCTCTATAGTCATGGCTGACCACAGTCAACTGAGGGCCGTGTGTGAGGGGCCAGGATGGGGGCAGAAAGTCCGAAATATGGTATTTTTCAAGTTTCAAATTGTTTCTATAGTTTCAAATTAGTTTCCAATCAATTTCAAATTAGTTTCAAAATCCAGTTGCAAAATCGCTGTTAAGGGGGAACTACAATTTCAGTCCGCGCTTTTTGAAAACCAGGAACCTCTGAGATTCCTTCATTTTTTTGAATTGCGCATAGAAAAATGCAGTTTGACCTTAACAGGGATTTTGCAACTGGATTTTGCAACTATTTTTGAAACTAATTTGAAACTACGGAAACGAATTTGAAACTTGAAAAACGCGGCATTTCTGCTCTTTGGCGCTTGGCCACACCCGAGCAAGAGGAGAGCTTAGGCTTGAATCTGCCAAAGGTACATCTCCGACATTATTCCCAAAAGCCATTCCAGCAACAACTCTTGCCAACAAGTCAGTAAATTATCTTGTCCGAGACTGTCTGGAGACTGGCAAGTTTTCGGAAACTCTGGTCTCTATAGTCATGGCTGACCACAGTCAACTGAGGGCCGTGTGTGAGGGGCCAGGATGGGGGCAGAAAGTCCGAAATATGGTATTTTTCAAGTTTGTAAATTATCTTGTCCGAGACAGAATCACTCAGATTTAGGGTTTAGGGACTCGGGTTCAGGGTCTAGGGCCTGCGGAGGCTGAGAAACCCTAAACCCTAAACCCTAAACCTAAACCCTAAACCCTAAACCCTAAACCCTAAACCCTTTTGGGCCTGCAGAGAATGAGGGTTCGATAGAGCAGACGTCTGAAGCCCAGCGGCAGCCGCTGCGCGGCTAAGGTGGCGCAGGACACAGGCGCGTGGCCGCGGAGCCCGCCTAAAGAAAGCGCAGCTAAACCCGGTCCACCCTAAACCCTAGGGCCCTAAACCCCCAAACCCCCAAACCCCCAAACCCCCAAACCCCTAAACCCCTTGACCCCTTGAACCCCTAAACCCCTAAACCCCTGAACCCCTAAACCCCTCAACCCCTAAACCCTAAACACTAAACTCGAAGGGGGAGTCAGGGGGTTAGTTGGGAAATCTGGGGGGGGGGGGGGGGGGCTTCAGAACTAACGTCGTAGGGTTTAGGGTTTAAAGCTGCGGGTGCAGGGCTTAGGGTTTAGGGTTTAGGGTTTAGGGTTTAGGGTCTAGGGTGTAGGGTCTAGGGTCTAGTGTCTAGGGTTTAGGGTCTAGGGTTTATTAGGGTCTTGCGAGGTTGAAGGGTTTGGGACTTCGGGCTTAGGCAGGCAGTACTCGTTCCGAGGATCGGCTGCACAGTTTATGAAGCCAAATCCAACCCCAAAAACCCAAACCACAAACCCTAAACCCTAAACCCTAAACCCTAAACCCTAAACCCTAAACCCTAAACCCTAAACACTAAACCCTAAACCCTAAACCCTAAACCCTAAACCCTAAACCCCAACCCCTAAACGCGTTCCCCAACCCAAGCAACGCACAAAGCTGCCCAGCTGCAGTGGGCACACTTCAGCGAGCGCTGGGGGCCTGTCCAAGCTTTCTTTTCAAAGCAGGCTTAGGGTCTAACCTTAGTTAAGCCCTAAACCGTAGCCCTAAGCCCGAAGCCCTAATTAAACCCTAAACCCTAAGCCCTAAACCCTAAAGGGTCTAGGGCTTGTAGGGGTCAAGGGTTCAACCCCTTATAAACCTGGCTGCGGGCTCCGTGTCGTGTCCTTCTACGCCCGGCCGCTCAATAGTCCGTTTAGGGTTTGGGATCTACGAGTGTAAGGACTTAAAAGGGAACCCTAAACCCTAAACGCTAAACCCTAAACCCTAAACCCTAAACCCTGAACCCCAAAGCACTGCTTCGGGGGGATTTGCAAGGTTTAGGGGGCAAGAGCCTTACGACTAAATCACACGTATCATGGTGGCCCCCTTACTTCCCCATTAATTATTGCTATTGCTGTATCGGTTTTTTTGCTGGGGGTCCATGTACTGGTTTGCCTTTGATCCCCTAGCTCGGTCTAGGGTCTTTGAGTAGCTGCAATTTAGGATTTTCGGGTTTAGGGTTTAGGGCTTGGCCTTAGGACTTTGGGGTTCCTACTAGTTCCTACATATACCCTGAAGCCCAGCTCACATCCCCGGAGACCCTAGACTTGGCATGTTCCCCCTTATACTTTACTAGCAGTCCTTAATGGGGATTACACCACCCCCTTATGAGAATCCTTCTTAAGGACTGTTAGTACAAGGGGGGGAGCATCCCAACCCTGAACCCTAAAGCCTTTTCAGGACATATTCCTGAACATGCCAGGATGTCGAATATTGTTGGAGGGATATTCCTCAATCATGCGGGTGTTGCGGCCCTAACTCATAAAGCCTATAGGCCTAGAAGCCCTAAAATAGCCCATATCTACCGACATGCACCTTATAACAACCCCCTCCACACACACAACAAAAACAAAACATAGCCTATACCCTGAATTCCACATCTCACTCGTTGAGCCCATAAAAGAAGCAATTTACCTTTGGGTTTTAAGGGGTTCACAGTAGCCCAAAAGGTAATTAGCGGCTAGGAGGAGGGGACTTCTTGGGGATGTAGACCCTCTGAATACGGTCCCTGTTTAAGAGTGCCAGAAGAGGGTTAAGAAGGGTTCCTTGCTAAGGGTCCCCCTCATCCCACCTAGGAGTAATGTAGCCGACTCAGCACCTAAGAAGTGCGCTGCCGAGAAACAGCTCCGGCTCTCGTGGCCCTTCTTCGTGCAGAAGAAGCCTCGGTACAGTGCCCTGAAGGGCTACCAAGGGTTTAGGGTTCAGGGTTTAGGGTTTAGGGTTTAGGGTTTAGGGTTTAGGGGTGTGTGTTTTTCAAAGGGGAACCGTGCCGTTGTAGGGAGGAAGATTGATGAAGGGTTGAGGGTTTAGGGTTGCCACGACATTCTTGGCGCTCTATGTTTCCTAAATACCCTAAACCCTAAGCCCTTAACCCGTATGTTCTCTGCACGCTGTGTGCCCTGTGGGATGCAACTATACACCACTAACAGGCCGTGAAGCCCCAAACCCCGCATTTTCAGGGGCGACATCACTAGAATGTGGATTTTATCGTACCGGTGATTGAAGACTATAGGGATGAAAGGTAAGGCCTAAAACTTCGATGACGACTTTCGGCCCCGGTATTTCTAAACCCTAAACCCTAAACTCCAAACCCCAAACCCCAAACCCCAAACCCCAAACCCTAAACCCTAAACCCTAAACCCTAATCCCGCGCGAGGGGCATCCTCGATCGGGGCAGCTGTTGGCATCGTGGCCCGTCTTGGCGCAAGCCCAACACGCGGCCTCGACGGTTGAGGGCTGAGGCTTCTCGGGCTTATGAACCCTAAACCCTAAACCCTAAACCCTAAGCCCTAAGCCCTAAACCCTAAACCCTAAACCCTAAACCCTAAACCCTAAACCGAAACCCCAAACCCCAAACCCTAAACCCTTCATGAACCTCTCAAGCCCTCCAGCACTTGTGACCTTATGAGGCCCTAGCGCCCTTTGAAACCCTAAGCCCGGCGCAACGCCGAATGATGAAGCCTAGGGTTCAGTTGCAGGGTTTAGGGTTTAGGGTTTGGGGTTTCGGGTTTAGGTTTTAGGGGTTAGGGCCACCTGCTGCTTTTCGTTTCCAAAGTAGCGCCCGCCGCCGGTGAGCCCACGCTTATCCTGGAGGGGGCAGGCGCAGGGAGTAGAGGATTGCCCCGGCCTTGCTAGCCTAGATCCTAAACCCTAAACCCTAAACCCTAAACCCTAAACCCTATAACCCTGTAACCCCAAACCGAACCCGAAGCTGCCAACCACATCCGAAGGTCTGACAAGGGCTCCAAACTACCGTTTGAGTTTAGGGTCTATAGGGTCTATAGGGTATAGGGTATAGGGTTTAGGGTTTAGGGTCTAAATGGTTTAGGGTTTAGGGTCTATAGGGTAAGGGTTTGGGGTTTAGGGTTTAGGGTCTAAAGGGTTTAGGGTTTAGGGTCTATAGGGTATAGGGTTTAGGGTTTGGGGTTTGGGGTTTAGGGTTCAGGGTTTCGGGCCTACCGGGTCTACAGCACTAAGGGTTTAACAGGAAAACCAACAAGTCGGAACATCCTTATCCCCAAAAGGTACACTAAAGGGAATCCCAGCGGCTCTAATCAATGGGTCCTGGTGCTACCCCCCCCCCCCCCCCCCCCCCCCCCCCCCCCCCAAGCAAATCAACTTTTGGCATCCTTAAACCTTTCAACTATGCTCCAGCGGGGTCGGCGGCTTGAGCCGGAGGCTCTTAAATTTTACTTGGAGGTTCATGGTACCTATTAACTGTGCTTATGACTGTACCCATGTTAGGACACTTCAGGGGCTTAAGAGTGAGTGGGTTATAAGTACAGTTCTAATCGGCTAGCAAGTACCATGAACCTCCACGTGGGGTTTAAGTCTAGGGTAAGGATTGAGCCTAAACCCCCTAGAACAAAGGTTGCTGCGAGTAGTCGGCCAAAAGGAAGAAAGTATTAGTATTGGAGACCTTACTGAAAACCCTTACGTGGCCCATAGAAGAGGTGTCAAGGGATTGATCAAACCCTGAAAGACACAACTCCCTAGATCAACCCTAACTGAACCCTAAACCCTAAACCCTAAGCCGCACAGGGTTGGGGTTTGGAGGTTTAGGGCTTAAGGTTTAGGACTGAGGGTGCTGTTTGTTGCTCACAGCCAGAGTAAACCTGCGTGATGACTGTAGAGGGCTCAGGGTGCAGGGGTTGGACCATTAGTGGGTTAAGAGTTTAGGGTCTAGGTTGGGTTCTAAATAAGGTTGTGGGTTTAAACCCTAAACCCTAAACCCTAAACCCTAAACCCTAACCCCAAACCCTGAACCCTAAACCCTAAACAAGGCTCGCTCTGCAGTCCTTTGGCGTGAGCGCCCCGACGTGCTGGGACACGTAGCGGCTGAAGAGAGGATAGAGGTCATTCAGCTCGTCATCGGAGTCCGACTCCTGCAATGCAGACTCGTTAAGGGGACCCTCACGAGGGAGCCATGGTTTCTATACATGTACATGTATGTATAATATATATATATATAGATAGATAGATAGATAGATAGATAGATATATGTATGTATATGTATATATGCATGCATATACATATATATATATACATATATACACATACATATTTTTTGCTTTATGCATATGTATCTATCTATGTATATATATATATGTGTATATACACATATATATATATATATATGTATATATGTATATATACATAAATATAATTCGTGGTTTTTGAGGTCTGCCCAAACCCTAAACCCTAAACCCTAAACCCCAAACCCCAAACCCTAAACCCTAAACCCTAAGTCCTAAACCCTAAACCCTAAACCCTAAACCCTAAACCCTAAACCCTAAACCCTAAACCCTAAACCCTAAACCCTAAACCCTAAACCCTAAACCCTAAACCCTAAACCCTAAACCCAACCCAAAATGCCAAAAAGCTCGAAAGTCATCCTTGGAGCCTTGAGAACCCCGGGCTGGCCCCGAAGAAGCCCCCTGACGAACGTTGCTGAAGAAGATCTTCTTGGGGGTTTAGGGTTTAGGGTTTAGGGTTCAGGGTTCCCCAACTATCACAAGGTCCTACCTGAACCCTAAACCAGGGTGCTCACAAACCGGTACTGGAACTCGTGGTTGTTGCTTTGTGATGCAGGGAGCCGGGAACGATCTGAAATCCAAACCCCAAACCCTGAACATTGTAGGTGCAGGGAAGGTTTGGTCGTTGGATTTGAGGGGCTCAGGATGGGTTTAGGGGTTTAGGGTTAGGGTTAGCGTTTAGGGTTTAGGGCTTAGGGCTTAGGGTTTGGAAGTTGTGCCGGAGTGCGGGGCTTCAGGGGACACATGGCGCACGCCGTTCTACTAAGGGATTGGGTTGAGAGTTTTGTGCTTGGGATACCTAATTTCCTGAAATCCACGAAAAAAACACTAACTCCACCCACTGCCCAGCGCAGCGTGCAACGTCAGCGGCCTCTATGTCCCCCAGGTCAATGTCCTTCGGGTTTACGGTGTAGGGTTTAGGGTTAAGGGTTTAGGGGATTCGCTGAGTTCTTTGATCGAAGGCGCGGCTACGGATCAGGGGTTCCTGTCTCTGCAGCCCTCATCACTTATTCGCCCCGGACCCTGTCAACCCTTGCAACCCACACAACTCTGAAGCCCTAAAAGTAAACCCTGAAGTCCCAAAACCCTACATGCTAAACCCTAACCCCTAAAATACCCTAAACCCTAAACCCTAAACCCTAAACCCTAAACCCCTAACCCCTAAACCCTAAACCCTAACCCCTAAACCCTACACAACAAAAAAGAAAAAAGGGGAGATTTCGCGGCCCTGGCCTCGGGGTGCGCGAAGGGGCAGGCAGAGCTGCTGTGCCCAGGCAGACCACAGCTGGCCAGGGCTCTCTTAGGGTTTAGGGTTTAGGGTTTAGGGTTTAGGGCTTAGGGCTTAGGGTTTGGGGCTCTTTGGGGGGGGGGGGGGTAATGTTGGACTCGCTTTAGTGCGTAGGGGTCCCCCCCCCCCCGCCCCCAAACAATTTTGGGGTTTTCGGGAATCCTTAATAATCTGGGACGGGGCTGGGACGGGGTCTGGGGGTAGGGCGGCTAGGGGTCGAGGGTTGAGGGGAAGCCTTGAAGCTTGAGGGTCTAAGCTTTCCAGGCTTTGTAGCTCCAGCCGGGGCTCCGCATTAATGCGGACCACCGAAACAACTTGCTAAAGGGAATCAGGGCAGCTCGTGGGCTACTCCCTTGGAAAATTGTTTGGGGGCCTGTTTCGTAATGAAATTTTACAAGGAATTTAAATAAGGCTGGACACCAAAAAAACCCGGAGTTTCTTATTCAAAACTGTTTTTTAGTTTTTGGCTCCCCGGCCCCCCGCCGCCCTTCAACCCCAGCCGGGACAACATCGCATAATTGTGAACCCCCCTAAACAATGGGGGGTCCTGTATAGGCCGAGCGGAAAATCGCATAATAGTGGTCCCATCTACTAAAGCCAGTCCAACATTATTTGGAGTAAATAGTTCGAGAACTTAAGCCAACTAGGGCTTATAGGGTTTGATAGAGTTTCCTTTTGTGCGGCCCTTCTGGGCGAAATGAGGGTGTGTTTTCGGGATTAGAGTAGTAACTGCTCAGGGATGCTTCCGTTTTGAGGGTTGTGAATGAACCCCAAAACCCTAAACACTAAACCCCAGAACCCCAAACCCTAAACCCCAATCCCTAAACGCTAAACCCGCTGTTAGGTTGGGACCTCCGAGGACGACATGAATCCTATCTCCTACCTGAACCTGCCGCTATTTTTGGCCCCCGGACCGTTTTCAACCTTGAGCTTGGCTGTTGGTGTCTTTAGGCTGCAATATATGCATCCTCGAATCTGAACACCTGCACTGCATCCTGTCAGAATCTGAACACCTGCATCGTGAAATGACCCCCCTTAGGAGCAGCCAGCCTTCATGTATGCATGTATGCATGCATGCATGCATGCATGTATGTATATATGTCTATCTATAGATGCCTATCTATGTGTGTATATATATATAAATATATATATATATATATGTATGTGTATACCTATATGTATTTCTATATATATATATATATATATATATGCGTGTGTGCATACATGAGTATGTCATGTGGTAGAAGTATGAATATAAATATAAATGTAAGTATGAATATGAATGAGATACAAGTGAATATGAATATAAATATAAATATAAATATAATTATAAATAAAAAATATAAATATAAATAAATAAATATATATATATATATATATAGATATAAATATTAAAAAACATATAAATATGCATATGAGTATGAATATGAATATGAATATGAATGTAAATATAAAGACAAATATGAATGTATATATATATATATAGAAATATGAATGTAACTATAAATATAAATATCAATATCCATATAGGTATAAATACATATATATATATATATTTATCAATTCTATATCAATTATATATATGTATAGATATATTTATGTTGAGAGTTAACGTTATATTTGTATTTATGCTTATAGTTAAAGTTATATTTCCATTTATATGAAAAGAACGGCTTAGGTTGTGGGACACGGCATCTAGGACTTTAGGGATTAGGGTCTCCCGGTGCGCTGCTTAAGCCGCAATTATTTGGCTTCACAGGTAGGTTTAGCTGGGGATACATGGCTAACTCTTGGGTTTAGGGTTTTAGGGTTTTAGGGTTTCAGGGTTTAGGGTTTAGAGTTTAGAGTTTAGGGGTTGCAACGTTGTTTGGGGTGCTCTCGAAGCGGGGTGCTCTCGAACCTACCCATAACTACCCATGAGCCTTCACACTAAACCCTCTACCCTAAACCCGAACCCCAAAACCTAAACCTTAAACCTTTCTCTTGGGAGCTGGCTGGGTGCAGGTGGGAACGCTCGCAGAGGTCGCTTCCTGCAGTTGAGGGCTTTGGGGTTTCGATGGTTCGGGTCTAGGGCTTTTCAGGTTTAACTCCAACCCTCCGGGCAGATGAAAGTTTGGAGTTTAGAGTTTAGGGTTAAGGAGAAAGACAGACACAGAGAGAAAGAGAGAGAGAGAGAGAGCGAAAGCCAGAGAGAGAGAGAGAGAGAGAGAGCGAGCGAGCGAGCGAGCGAGAGAGAGAGACAGAGAACGCGACACAGAGAGCGAGAGAGTGAGGGAGGATGCAGCTTGACAAAGGCAATCCGGTGAACTCAGATTGCTTAGGGTTTAGGGTTTAGGGTTTAGGGTTTAGGGCTAGAGCACCCAGCGGGGGGTGTCTGAGGGTTCATACATTGCATGCGGAGTCCCGACCGAGCCCACCCTAAACCCCAAACCCTAAACCCCAAACGCCAAACCCTAAACCCCAAACCCTAAACCCCAAACCCTCAACCCCAAACCCTCAACCCCAAACCCTAAACCCTCAACACCAAACCCTAAACCCCAAACCCTAAACCCCAAACCCTGAACCCTAAACCCCAAACCCTCAACGCCCCCTCACACCCCCTCCAAAGAAAGGGAGCTAGACAGCTTGGAGACCCTAGGCCTTTAAGCAAAAGCAGCTCAAGGAGCTCCTAGGCTTCTGCCTTGGAGGGTCGGGGCTAGGGCTTAGGTTTGGGGTGGCTTCGATGCAGGGTTTTTGGGGAGAAGAACTTGACAGCTTGACCGGAATTGTCACGAGACGTCGAAATCGACAACCCTCTCGGCGTTCCGATTATCTAAGCACGAAAGCGCAACGAACCCGAAGCCCGAAACCCTGAACCCAAACCCTAAACCGTGAACCCTAAGTAAACCCGAAGCCCCACACCGTAACTCCTTAGCCCTCAACCGCCTCAGCAGCCTCCTTTTCTGGCGCTTTGCTTTCTTCCGATTCGGCCTCGTCTCACAACGGTTTCGGTTTAGGGTTTAGGGTTTAGGGTTTAGGGTTTAGGGTTTAGGGTTTAGGGTTTAGGGTTTAGGGTTTAGGGTTTAGGGTTTAGGGTTTAGGGTTTAGGGTTTAGGGTTTAGGGTTTAGGGTTTAGGGTTTAGGGTTTAGGGTTTAGGGTTTAGGGTTTAGGGTTTAGGGTTTAGGGTTTAGGGTTTAGGGTTTAAGGCCGGGGTTTAGGGTTTAGGGTTTGGGGTTTAGGATTTCGATCGGGTTGAGGGCACACGTGACTTGGGGATTAAGGGTCGAGGGCTTCAGGGTGTTCTCTAAGTCTTCGGCTTTTGCCGGGACAAAGTCTGCGCTATCAGTCAGGGACACTGGGAGCATCGCAGTCGGTCGGTCTAGGGTTTAGGGTTTAGGGTTTAGGGTTTAGGGTTTAGGGTTTAGGGTTTAGGGTTTAGGGTTTAGGGTTTAGGGCTGAGGGCTGAGGGCTGAGGGTTGAGGGTTCAGGGTGCAGGGTCTAGGGTTTAGGGTTCAGGTTTAGGGTTTAGGGTCTCGGGTTTAGGGTTCAGGGCTTAGGGTTTCGGGTTCAGGGTTTAGGGTTTGGGATTAGGGGGTTTAGGATTTCGGGTTTAGGGCACACGTGACTAGGTCAGACACGGACGCTGGGTGCATCGCAGTGGGTGCAGGCAGGTGAGTCTCATACAGGAACCAGACATGCTCCAGGCATCTCTGACAGTCATTGGGTTTGCTGCTCCGGGAAAAGCTCGCGGACCAGGACCACGCAGGTGCAAGAAAGAAGGCGTCATGAAGCGTAGATTGTCCGAGCTGAAAGCTGCTCCGGGAAAAGCTCGCGGACCAGGACCACGCAGGTGCAAAAAAGAAGGCGTCAAGCGTAGGTTGTCCGAGCTTCGAGAAGCTGGTGGCTTTGTCCATGTGGGTCCGCATCAGAAACCAGAGTGCCCGGCTAGGTGCGCAAGCGGGGCGCGGGACGTCCCTAAACCCTAAACCCTAAACCCAAAACTCAAAACCCTAAACCCTAACCGATACTCTTCGGTTCGGGGACTCTCTGGGGTTGGGCACTCCGGAAACTCTCTGGAGATACCCTGGGTTGGGCACTCCCTGAAATCTCTGAAGATGGGATACTATGGGGTTTAGGGTTTAGGGTTCAGGGTTTAGGGTTTAGGGACTCTCTGGAGATAAAGGGGGTTGGGCACTCCCGGACTTGGCTCTCGGGGGGGGGGGGGGGGGCTAGGGGTTGCGCTCCAGGGACTTTCCGGGCCAGGTGTAGACCGGGCGAGGGGAAGAGTTTGGCTTAAACGCGAGCAACCCCACTGCGAGGGTGGGGGAGAAACTCGATTCGTGCAGGGATCCTTTAGAACGATGGGGAATAGAATGTTACTTTCCCCCTGGCTAAGTGGAAACTTTGTCAAGGGCTCCACCATGACCCCTAAACCCTACATCCTGAAGCCGAAGCCCAAGTTGCAGTCAACATTGCTTGTTCAGCTGAAGGACATGGATGTTGGGATTATCGTTTCTGCGTGTCCCATGTCGTTCTGCAGGTTAAGACGCTCTTCCGCAAGTTTCATACTAAGTCCCTACATCGCACATATCTATCATCATGTTGGGGTTATCGTTTTTTGTGTGTCCCATATCGTTCTTCAGATCAGAAGCCACCAAACCATACACTGATGTCCGTCCCTTACTAAAGCTAATCAACGCTAATTTTGACGGTCGCTCATATAAGGGTTTCCGAAATTAGGGGCAGCCTATTGAGGTTCATATTAGAAGAGGATCCTACCATTGGGACCTAACTTAGGGGCCCCTTGTTATCGTAAACCCCCATACAAGGGTTTAGGGTTTAGGGTTTAGGGTCTACGGGTTTAGAAAGGTACAACCAGACTCAGGCCCGAACACTTCAGTCTCAGGTCCGAAACCACCCCCCAAAGTGGCTTTAGGGGTGTGTAGGGTTGAGGAATGAGGCTTTAGGGTTGAGGGTTGAACCCTAAACCCTAAACCCTAAACCAAAACCCCAAGCCCTAAACCCTAGCCCTAAACCCTAAACCCTCAACACCCTAAGCCTCCAGTTTACGGGGCCTTCCGGCCTGCAGAACCTCAAACCGTACAAACCCCATAAACCCATAAACCCTATAAACCCTATAAAGCCTATAAACCCTATAAACCCTATACACCCTATAAACCCTATAAACCCTGAAAACCCTATAAACCCTGTAAACCCTATAAACCCTAAACCCTATAAACCCTATAAACCCTAAACCCTAAAGCCTAAACCCTAAACCCTAAACCCTAAACCAACACACTAAACCCTAAACCCTAAACCCTAAACCCCAGCCCTAAACCCTACCCTACACCCTAGCCCTCCAGTTTAGGGGCCTTTCCGGCCTGTGGAACCTCACTCTGCAGCAAACCCTAAACCCTAAACCCTAAACCCTAAACCCTAAACCCTAAACCCTAAACCCTAAACCCTAAACCCTAAACCCTAAACCCTAAACCCTAACCTAAACCCTAAACCCTAAACCCTAAACCCTAAACCCTAAACCCTAAACCCTAAACCCTAAACCCTAAACCCTAAACCGCTGCAAAGGTGCTGGAGCCGGCGCAGGAGTTGGCGGCGTTTCCTTGCTGGCCTGGCGTCGGGCTTCAAGTTAAAGGGTCCTAAGTACCTACATAGTAGAAAGTAGGGTTTAGGGTTTAGGGTTTGGAGTTTAGGGTTTAGGGTTTAGGGTGTAGGGTTTAGGGTTTAGGGTTTAGGGCTAGGAATTACTCGTATGGTTTGGGGAAGTGTCCCCCATATCGGTTCTTCGGACCCTTTGGGTTCAGGTACCCTAAGCTGTGGTTCAGGGTTTAGGGCATTCAGGGTTTATAGGGTTTAGGGTTCAGGGTGTATAGGGTGTAAAGGGTTCAGGGTGTATGGGGTTTAGGGTTTACGGTGAATAGGGTTTATGGAAGGTTAAGAGGGCTTACAGGGTCTAGGGTGGCCAAAATCCTCCAACCTTACACCCTAGATCCTAAAGCCCTGCCCTGAAGAACCCCAAGCCTACTTTGTGTATCCCTTCAGGAGTTCTGAGGTGTCCTACAAAAACCAGGGGGGTTAAAAAAAGGGCTCGAGCAAAGCCACCAAACTCAAGCAAAACCCTAAACCATAAACCCTTTTTCTTTTCAACCCAAACTGGTAAGCAGCGCAGCTAACCCTAAGCCTTTTCGGGCCACAGCCTATAAGCTGTTCACCCTACACGTTTCAACCCTAAACCCTAAACCCTAAACCCTAAACCCTAAACCCTAAACCCTAAACCCTAAACCCTAATGAAACCCTAAACCCAAGCCCCGCACACCGCGAGGCCTCGGCGGCGGCAGCAGCCTCGCCAGCCGCGTCGACGAAGAAGAGGCCCTGGCATCCAGCGTTTCTTGGGATCCCTAGCAGCTAGAGCCCTGAAAAGCCCAAGAGCCTAAAGGGCTAGGGTTTAGGGTTTAGGGTTTAGGGTTTAGGGTTTAGGGTTTAGGGTTTAGGGTTTAGGGTTTAGGGTTTAGGGTTTAGGGTTTAGGGCTTTAGGCTTTAGGGTTTAGGGTTTAGGGTTTAGGGTTTAGGGTTTAGGGTTTAGGGTTTAGGGCTTAGCCCGAAAGCCTTATAAGACCCAAGCCTTGCCGCCCACGTGGCCTCTTCGCCCGCAGGGCGGGCTGCCTGCGGCGCTGCCGCCAGTGGCCGCTCCTGATCCGACTTACTTGTAGGGCTTAGGGTTTAGGGTTTAGGGTTTAGGGTTTAGGGTTTGGGGTTTAGGGTTTAGGGTTTAGGGATACTTGAAACTGATCAGTTGCAGGGTTTGAGGGCTCGGGGCTAGAGCGAGCCACGAACCTGCCACTACCGAATCTCCAAATCCTTAGAAGAGGGGTTAGGTGTTGCATCTGCTGCACGGAGGTGGAACGCAGGGCGTGTTTAAGTTGAGCAACCGGGGGGAGCTTCCTCGTGGCTTGAAGACTTGAGCGAAATGAGTGATGATTAATTATGATTATGATGATGATGATGACGACCACGATGATGATCCTGATCATGATGATGATCATGATCATGATCATGATGATGCTTAAACGCGGTTCAAAAGGTTTAGGGTTCAGGGTTGCTCAAACACGCCCACTTCAGGGTTCAGGCCGCTTGGTAGGGTTTCGGGTTTAAGGGTAACCCTGAACATCCATGAACCCTAAACCCAAACCATAAACCCTGAAGATCCAAGCCCAGCCAACACTCCCAGCTCGCCAACTAGCCTGCTCTTTCTGCGGGGCTGCTGCAGCTGCTGCGGCCGTTGCAGGTGGCATCTCCTGCACTCCGACTCTTTTGCGATGAATCATGGGCCGAACAAGGCTGTCCTCAAACAGGGCTTAGTGTGCAAGATACCAAGTGCAAGGCTTGAGTCCTCGCAATTCCTTCAACTTGGCATGCAGTCTATGAGTTGCGGTGTGGGGTATTTTAAGGGGATTACAAGGGAACCCAACCCCCCCCCCCCCCCCAAAAAAAAAGGAAATGAGGGCCTACTCCCGGTCCTAGGTATAGAGTCGGGGGCTGAGGGTTTAAAATCCCGCATGGCCGCTGAAGCCTCCGCAGAAGGGCCAGTTGCTTGTGCGGCGGCTGGCACTGCTGGTACCGACTCCTGCGGCTCTTCTTCTTCTTCTTCTGCTATTTATGTTTTTCTTTTGTTTCTTAGTATTTGTTCTTTTTATTTGTATTTTTTCTTATTTGTTCCTCTTCTTCTTTCATTTCCTCTTTCTCTTTCTCTTCCTTGTCCTCTTTTTCATTGATTTTCTCCATCTCTTGTTCAAGCTCTTTCTTTTTCATCTCCTCTTTTTCTTTCTTTTCTTCCTTCGTTTTCAACTTGGGCTTAGGCGTGAGACTGCCCTCTTCTGACCCCCGAGTTGAGCAGCTGGTAGTACACCCGACCCATGCACTGAGCATTCTGACAGATCTGGTGTATCTTGTAGGGAACAAGCCTAAACCCCTGCATCCTATACCCTGAGGCCTCAGCAAAGACAACCGAACCCTGAACAGAAACGGAGCGAAGCCGGCCTTCTTCTCCTCGCTAACGACTGCCGCTGCTGCGGACGTCTCCTAGCTGCCGCAGATCTTGATGTTTTCAGGGGCACTCTAAACCCTATTCCCCGAAACTACAGCTTGTTGATCAGCTCGGAGTTTGAGGATTTGGTATTGCTCTTACGATGCTCGGAATCAGAGTGGCCTAAGGACAAACTGGGGAGGGTCTGCTTAAGTCGCGTCATGCCTTGCATCATCTTGCATCTAAGGTTCAAAGCTTAAAACCCGAACCTGAAACCCTGAAGCTACAACCTTAGCCAACACTCCCGGCCCACCAACTGGCCTGCTCTTTCTGCGGGGCTGCTGCAGCTGCCGCGGCCGTTGCAGGTGGCATCTCCTGCACTCTTTTGTGACAAAGCATGCGGCCGGACAAGGCCGTTCTCGCACAGGGCATATAGTGCACCAGATACCAAGTATATGCGTTGTCATGCCCAACATTTCCTTCAACTGTCACATAGTCTATGAGTTGGAGTTTAGGGTGCTTCTAGGGTTTCAGACCTCACGTCATACAGCTGAAGCCTCGTCCGCAGATGGGCCGGCTGCTTGCGCGGCGGCTGACACTTCTGGGACCTTCTGTGGCACTCAACTTGGACGTAGGCGTGAGACTGCCCCCCTTATGACTCCGAGTTGCGCAACTGATATACTACACCCTACCCTTGCACTCAGCATTCTGCCAGATCTGGTGTAACTTGTAGGGACATGCCTAAACCCTGCATCCTATACCCTGAAGCCTCTAACAGAAACGGAACGAAGCCGGCCTTCTTCTCCTCGCTAACAGCTGCCGCTGCCACGGACGTCTCCTAGCTGCTACAGATCTTAATGTGTTCAGGGCACGCTCAACCGTATTCCCAACAAAGCTAGTCTAGGGTGTAGGAGCTTGTTGTTTGGCTCGGAATTTTGAGGAGGTTGGTTTGGGTGTTGCTCTTGGGATGCTCGGAATCAGAGTGGCTTAAGGGCAAACTGGGGAGGGTCTGCTTAAGTCACATGCCTTGTATCAGGACATGAATACTTACAACCCGAACCTTACACTCTGAAGCTACAAGCGTAGCCAACACTCCCGGCCAACCAACTAGCCTGATCTTTCTGCGGGTCTGCTGCAGCTGCTGCGGCCGTTGCAGGTGGCATCTCCTGCACTCTGTTATGACAAAAAGCATGCGGCCGAACAAGACCCTTCTCACACATGGCATATAGTGCACAAGATACCCAGTATTTGCGTCTTCATGCCCAACATTTCCTTCAACTTGTCATATAGTCTATTGAGTTGGGGTTTAGGGTGTTTCTAGGGTTTCAGAACTCACGTCATACAGCTGAAGCCTCGTCCGCAGGCGGGCCGGCTGCTTGCGCGGCGGCTGGCACTTCTGGGACCTCTTGCGGCACTCAACTTGGGCGTTGGCGTGAGACTGCCCCCCCCTTCTGACCCCGAGTTGCGCAACTGATATACTACACCCTACCCTTGCACTCAGCATTCTGACAGATCTGGTGTAACTTGTAGGGACATGCCTAAACCCTGCCTCCTGTACCCTGAACAGAAACGGAACGAAGCCGGCCTTCTTCTCCTCGCTAACAGCTGCCGCTGCCGCGGACGTCTCCTAGCTGCTACAGATCTTAATGTGTTCAGGGCACGCTCAACCCTATTCCCCACAAACCTGGTCTCGGGATCAGGGGCTCGTTGGCTCGGAGTTTTGAGGGTTGGTTTGGGTGTTGCTCTTGGGATGCTCGGAATCAGAGTGGCTTAAGGGCAAACTGGGGAGGGTCTGCTTAAGTCACGTCATGCCTTGTATCAAGAAATGATTACTTGCAACCCGAAGCTTAAACCCGGAAGCTACAAGCCTAGCCAACACTCCCGGCCAACCAAGTAGCCTGCTCTTTCTGCGGGGCTGCTGCAGCTGCCGCGGCCGTTGCAGTTGGCATCTCCTGCACTCTTTTGCGAAAAAAACATGCGGCCGAAAAAGGCCGTTCTCACACAGGGCATATAGTGCACCAGATACCAAGTATATGCGTTTTCATGCCCAACATCTCCTTCAACTTTTCATATAGTCTATGAGTTGCGGTTGGTTTAGGGTGTTTCTAGCATTTCAGAACTCACGTTATACCGCTGTAGCCTCGTCCGCAGATGGGCCGGCTGCTTGTGCGGCGGCTGGCACTTCTGGGACCTCCCGTGGCACTCAACTTGGGCGTAGGCGTGAGAGTGCCCTCCTTCTGACTCCCAGCTTGCACTGAGCATTCTGACAGATCTGTTGCAACTTGTAGGGACAAGCCTAAACCCTACATGCTATGCCCTGAAGCGTCAACGTTACGGCTGAGCTGACATGATTTCTTGTCAAAAAGTCCTAAGTACCTACATAGTAGAAAGTAGGGTCTCTATAATAGGAATTACAGTTATGGTTTGGGGAAGTGTCTCCCAGATAGGTACTTAAGACCATTTGGGCTGATAAATAAACAAGAAGAGCTACATAACGAGTGCGTCAGTTCCAACTCACCTCGTGAGCATGGCGGCAATGGGTTTTGGTGGAGCTTTGGATACTTTAGATGCCCTACCGTCTCTTGATGCAACTCCGCGCCAGACCCTAAACCCTAAACCCTAAACCTTAAACCCTAAACCCTAAACCATCGGTGCCTGGTCAGCTACTTGTGGAGCTGCAGCTGTCGGCAGCTTCTCCTGAAGGCTACCAGGGACCGGCACACCAACCCAAACAGCCATGCCAGACGCCCTTTTCTACCCCAAATAGAGGAGAATCCCCTTAAAGGGAGCCCCTAAACCCTAAACCCTAAACTCTAAACCCTAAACTCCAAACCCTAAACCCTAAACCCCAAACCCTAAACCCTAAACCCTAAACCCTAAACCCTAAAAGGGTGCCCTTGTTTTCGGTAACCCCCACATGCCAACTTGCTGTCGGCAGCGGCGGAAGACTTCAGCAATTTAGAGCACGAGGCTTCCACATGTACTGGGGGTGGTACCCTGTTTGGGGCTGTCAGGGGATTTTAGGGTTTAGGGTTTAGGGTTTAGGGTTTAGGGTTTAGGGTTTAGGGTTTAGGGTTTCGGGTTTAGGGGGTATAAAAAGGGGGTACCCCTATTTTGGGAAATGCCCGCATCGTCTCGGAGAGTCAATCGCGATGCTCGTTGCCGGGGCCATGGACCCAAATATGCAAAAGACTCCCAAAAAAAAGGTGCGCCAGCTCGTGCTCTGGAAAAACCCTAATTACTTGCAACGCGTTTCAACGCTGCCACCTATTTCGGGATGGGGGTCAAGAGGTTTTGGTGATTGCTGCTGCAGTCTCCTGAGTGCAACTCCACCCCAAACCCTAAACCCTAAACCTTCAACCCTAAACCCCAAACCCTCAACCCTAAACCCTAAATCCTAAACCCCAAACCCTAAACCCCCTCCGGTGCCTGGTCAGGGTTGGCTCCCCCATCTGCTTCGGGAGCCGAAGCTGTCGCCGGCTTCTCCTCAGCGCGCCCTAAACCCTAAACCCTAAACCCTAAACTCTAAACCCTAAACTCCAAACCCTAAACCCTAAACCCTAAACCCTAACTCTAAACCCTAAACCCTAAACCCTAAACCCTAAACCCTAAACCCGGATTAAACCCTAAACCCGAAACTCTACACCTTGCACAGAACGGGTCTTTTGGAGCTACTTAAACAAGGGATATCCGAGCATCCTCGTCACCAGGAGCCACAGTTTCGGATCCAGGGCTTAGGGCTAAGCGCTTTGGGGTGCCCGCCACCTATAATCCCAAACCAGGCCCATTCGTCTGCACTTGAACAAGGGAACCTCTCGCGTCTCTAAATCCTCAACCCTAACCCCGAAATCCTAAAACCTAAGCCCTCCCGCGACTCACTATCAACCAGGCAACCTACAATCCAAAACCCGAGACAGCTCCGCTAAGCCAAGTGACGGCACTGGCACTCGCCCCCATCGTCGGTGTCGTCGACACACCCTCGGGCTTTCGGGCTTACAAGGCTTGCGGTTGAGGTCTTAGCACTTAGGGTCTAGGGTTTAAAAGCTCACGGGTAGAGTATGCCCTACCAATACCCCCAAACCCTACACACTGGCAGGTGACAACCATTACACTTAATAACCAGAACAACAAGAAGAGTAAAAACAATCATCAACTGCCAATCATCATCATAACAGCCATACGAACAAAAACACAACAAATGTTACAATAATATTCTGATCCTTAGTATGTGTCAAGGGGACGCAACACCATAGCTCGCCCCCCCCCCAGTGGCTGCAACCTTCTTTAGTTCCCTAAACCCTAAACCCTAACCCCTAAGCCCTAAGCCCTAAGCCCTAAACCCTAAACCCTAAACCCTAAACCCTAAACCCTAAACCCTAAACCCTAAACCCTACTTAGACACGAAGCCCGAAGCCCTACACCCCAAAACCGCAACCTAACGAGCGAGGTCACGGGTGGACGCGTGCAGAAGGAAGCCTACCCTCAATCGTATCCACACGCCCCGAGCTTCCTCTGAGGCCCTGACCCTAAATCCATGTGGAGGCTTAGGGTTTGAGGGTTGTTTAGGGCTTAGGGTTTAGGGTTTAGGGTTTAGGGTTTAGGGTTTAGGGTTTAGGGTTGAGGGTTGAGGGTTTGAGGGTTTCAAGGCTTGAGGATTTCAAGGTTTTGGGGCCCCTGATGGGCACCTTTGCTACAACAACCCCACTCTACTCAACCAAGGAAGGCCCCCTCCCTACACCCCAAAAGATCCGGTTCGCGGGACTAGCTCTGACTACCCGAAGGCTCCCACGACCCTCCTACAGAGGAGCTGGTACCTCCTAGGGAGAGTTCTGGGGTCTCAATCCTGTGGTTTTTGGCTTAGGGTTTAGGGTTTAGGATCTTGGGTTTGATTAGGGTGTAGGGTAACCATGGTAACCTCTGCGATAAGCAGTTCGTATAAGCTCTCGAAACCTTCCAGTCGATTAGAACCCTAAACCCTAAACCCTAAACCCTGAACCCTGAACCCTGAACCCTGAACCCTGAACCCTAAACCCTAAACCCTAAGCCCTAAGCCCTAAACCCTAAACCCCAGACACCTCCTGTAGTCCTGCTTGGGGCACGGTGTCGTTCTTGTCCTCCTCGTCCTGCGCAGCTCCTAACTACTACCCAAGGAGCAAAAGCAGCCCTGAAAGTCCAGGGTTTAGGGTTTCTAGGGTTCTAGGGTTCTAGGGTTTATAGGGTTTATAGGGTTTATAGGGTTCATAGGGTTTATAGGGCTTATAGCGTTTATAGCGTTTATGGGGTTTCTAGGGTTTCTAGGGTTTCTAAGGGTTTATAGGTTTCTAGGGTTTATAGGGTTATAGGGTTTATAGGTTTATAGGGTTTAGGGTTTATAGGGCATAGGGTTTGGGACTCAGGGCTGCAAGCGCCACGTGCGCGTCGCAAGTCTCCCTGGGCAGAGCCAGGAAAATGAGAGGTTGGCCCACGACGCAGCTATGTGAGAAGCAATTGTTTGTGGATCTCTTTCTTTTGGCCACGGTTAGGCTTGAGGTTTGTCAGGGTCCTGTACATGCCCTAAGTCCTAGGGATTAAGCTCTAGGCCCTAGGCCAAAAAAACCCTAAGCCCTAAGCCCAAACACGCTTTCACAGGAAAGCCGCCGTCCTCTGAAAGGTCTGCCAGTGGTATGTCTTCACTCTCTTCCATGGATGGAGACGAGGGTGCAGGGGATTAGGGGGTAGTTAGAGTTGAAGTTTCGCGTCTGCTTTAAAGTCCCTCTGCACTGAGGTTCAACCCTGAGCCCTAAACCTAAACCCAACTCGAACTCACAGGTGTTCACGCAGCTTCTTGTTGCGACGAGTTCTTGTTGCGACGAGGGTGCTGCTGCTTTGGGATCATGAACCATACCTCGAATCTGAGCCATCGCCCGCAAGGTTGCACCAGGGCTATGGGGAAGGAATCTTCACCAGAATCCAAACAGCCTTATCCAAATATCGAAAACATCTTAGACAACCTCCTAGGTCCTACGTCCCTGTTTTCCATCAGGCCCTACAAGCCCTGACGAGCGCCACAAACAAGCTGAAACCCCTAAGCCCCGTGAAGCCACTCGGGCTCTGCTGCCCATGGCCCCAAAGCCTAAACCCTAAACCCTGCTTAGCCCGCAGCACGAAACTCTGTACCGCAGAGCCCTAAACCCTTAACCCGAAACCCTAAACCCTAAACCCGAAACCCTAAACCCTGAACCCTGAACCCTGAACCCTGAACCCCAAGACAAAGAGATGGGCCTAAGCCGCTCTTTTCTGCACTTCAGCCCTTCGGGACAGGAGGCGCATGTAAACTTACTGCTTCTTAGCAAATCGAGGAGGGATTGCGACCGGAAACGGCTTGGATGAAACACGACCAAACCCTAAACCCTAAGCCCGAAACCCGAAGCCCTAAAGCCTAAACCCTAAACCCTAAACCCGAACTTAGAGAACTACCAAGGATGATACTTGGGGAGTTTAGGGCCTAGGGCTTAGAGTTTAGGGTTTAGGGCTTAGGTTCTTGACATACGGAGCCCTGCGGTAGGGATACCCCCGAACCCTAAACACAACTTAGATGAATGCCCACTTGGCTTAAGTGTTACGAGACCTCAAATTCAGAATCCAAACTTGAAGGGTTCAGGACTTAGGGTTTAGGATTTAGGGTTTAAGGTTTAGGGTTTAGGGTTTAGGGTTTAGGGCGCAGGGTACAACATGAAGGGGCGTGGGTTCATGAATCGCACGGCTACCCTCTAAACCCTACACGCCCTAAGTCCTGAACCCGACTGGTCTGCAATGGAAACCTCAACCCTAAGCCTCAACCCTAAACCCCAAACCCTAAACCCTAAACCCTAAACCCTAAACCCTAAACCCTAAACCCTAAGCCCTAAACCCTAAACCCTAAACCCTTCAACCTAAACTCTTAACCCCAAATCCCGGAAACCCATGGGGTTTAGGGTTGATTCCTGCTGAAAGCTTCGTAGTGCCGGCAGTCGCAGTGACCCTCCGCAACGGGAGCCCCACAAGATGGGTTTAGGGTTTAGGGTTTAGGGTTTAGGGTTTAGGGTTTAGGGTTTAGGGTTTAGGGTTTAGGGTTTAGGGTTTAGGGTTTAGGGCTCCTGTGAAACTTGTCCTACAGCGGCCTCTCCCGCTGATAACGTACCTGGCTGCACTTCCCTGGAGTCACAAGGCCATGTGAGAAATTCGCACCAGCATAGTGCTCCTCCTAAAAATCGGTTTGCGGCTCAGCAAGCCCTAAACCCTAAACCCTAAACCCTAAACCCTAAACCCTAAACCCTAAACCCTAAACCCTAAACCCTAAACCCTAACCACAAACCCCAAACCCCAAGCCCTGACTGCAAAGCAAATCATCCCAAATTCCCTGCTAAGAAATACTAAGTAAGCTTCGAGCCTTGAATAGCATTATGCTATATCAGACCCTGATAACCGATACCACCATGTCGTACCATACTTCACACAGCAACCAAAAACGCACTACTAGACTTACATATATATGTATATATACACACACATTTCCATACGTGATATGCCTGTGCTCTGCAAAAACAGTGGGCTTCGGCTTCGATACCAAGACAACAGGTGAACTCCCCACTCACACCAAATTGCTCCTCCGGGCTTGGCAGGCTTGGCCAACGGCTTTGTGGCCAACGCAGCCACAGGCGATATGGTCTTGGAGGCACAGTTTGAAGGAGCCACTTATACCTGCGCATATGGTAGAAATGTATACATGATATATATATATATATATAACTGACATGCATTTAGGTATGCTTTTGATTGTTTTCTAACCTTTTTTGGGGGGGAGGGAGGGGGGCGGGGGTGGCTTGGGATACGTAGGCAGCTTTAAACAAGAAGCCTCGGCCTCCAGGAAGAGAAGACGAGTCTGTGAAAGAGCCCCATGAACATCCAGTGCACGCTGAAACCAGAAACAGACTGCGAACCTTGGGGTTTAGGGTTTAGGGCTTAGGGTTAAGGAGTAAGGGTTAAGGGTTTAGGGATGTGGGCTATGATGCGCAATGCTGCTTGACAAGGGCACCATCCAGACCCGCACGTATCGACAGTGCTCCCCCATGCCCCGAAGTACACATTTGCTCTGGGCAACTATGATACGAGCGGCAAGACTGCTGCCAGAGCAACTCCTATGCACCAGACACTAAACCCTGGACTCGCCAAACCGTCAACGCAGCGCCATACAACCCTAAACCCTAAACCCTAAACCCTAAACCCTAAACCCTAAACCCTGAACCCTGAACCCTAAACCCTAAACTCTAAACCCCAAACCCGGCAACTGCAAGCACAAAGAACCCGAAGCTCAGGTTCTTTAGTCTCCCCCAAAAGCAGAAGACCCTTCGCGGGACCCGATGTTTGTCAGAGACCCTCTCCATGGGGTGTGGGGGGGGTTTAGGGTTTAGGGTTTAGGATTTAGGGTTTAGGTTCAAGGTTTAGGGTTTTAGGGTTTAGGGTTTAGGGTGATTTAGGGTTTAGGGTGAGAGTCTAAGTGTTAAAGGTCTCGGGGTTTAGGGTCGGCTTTAGGTTTGGGATTATGGGTTGAGGCTTGAAAGGTTGAAGCGCTGACTGGCCTTTAAGGCTTAGATTCAGGGAGTCGGGTTGGAGGTTTAGCCGTCTCAGGCAGCCAACCAGATTCTGTTGCCTCAACTACCAAGGACTTGCAAAACCTATGCCCTCAACTCTAGAAAACCTAAACTACCTTACTCGAGGGATATCCCTGAAACCCTCAAAACCTACGCCCCAAACCCGAAACCCTGAACCCTAAACCCGAAACCCCAAACCCTAAACCCGAAACCCTAAACCCTAGCCCTAAACCCTAAACCCTACACCCCTAACCCTGAGCCCTAAACCCAAAACCCTAAACCCTAAAACCCCAACATCAGGGGTTAATTGGAAGCCCAGGGTGTGCCCTCGTGTGGCCCCCGGCCTTCGAAACCCGAACACTAGAGGGGTTGAGGGTCTTGGCATTTTATCTCTGTAGGCATATAGGGCTTAGGGCGTAGGGCTTAGGGCTCAGGGCTTAGGCTAGCATGGCCACAGTCAACAAAACCGAGCGGTGGCCGTTGTATCGGAGCCCGGCTAACCAAGTCCTGGTGAGATTGGATTTCAAGCTTTAGGGCACAAGGATTACAAGGCCTAATTCAACCCTACACCCTACACCCTACACCCTCAACCCTAAACCCTAGACCCTAAACCCTAAACCCTAAACCCTACTTGCACAATCTTGCCGCTCCTGCTGTGCCGGCGCTGTGGTGAAAGATCCGCGCAGATTTCCCATCTAGGGAATGCGCTCCACGGCCGATAGAGGGACTGCGGAACGGATTTAGGGTTTAGGCGGTAGGGATGAAGATTATAGACCCCTAAACCCTAAACCCTAAACCCCACACCCTAGACCCTCACTAAACCCTAAACCCTAAACCCCAAGACCCAAAACAATACTCAGAAAGTGTGAAGGAGGGCCGAGGCCCCAGCTCTCGGTCAAGAGGTTTGCGCTTGCCCTCAAGCAAGAAACCAAACCTATGAACCCCAAACCCCAACTTCCCGACCCTTAAACCCTAAACCCTACACCCTAAACCCTAAACCTTAGTCCTACTAAACCTTTCTCCTTGGTTCAAAAAGTTACTGGGGATGATGGGGTTTAGGGAATGACTGAATTGAGGCTTGCCAATTCTTTTGTCTCCTTGCAGGGAGTCACCTTGTGTAGGCAAGAAGAGCCGAGGATGTACTGCTCGCGAACATACCATGTCGCCTGTTCTTGGGACGTATGCGAAAGGACCTAACAAAGCAAGGGTTTAGGGTTTAGGGTTTAGGGTTAGGGTTTAGGGTTTAGGGTTTAGGGTTTAGGGTTTAGGGTTTAGGGTTTAGGGTTTAGGGTTTAGGGTTTAGGGTTTAGGGTTTAGGGTTTGGGGTTTAGGGTTTAGGGTTTAGGGTTTAGGGTTCAGGGTTTAGGGTTTAGGGTTTAGGGTTTAGGGTTTAGGGTTGAAGCCTGCGTCGATCCTAGGGTAGAATTTGGGTCCGTAGCTCCTTGGTGATGTTTCCACTGTCCTCTCCGCGACCTGAATTTAGCTAGATTTAAATAAAGTCTCTGGCAAACAAAGGGCGGCAATGGCATGCATATCCACCTGACCCACGCACTTTGCTCTTAACCCCCTCACAAACCTTCGTGGGCATAGGCACAACCTTCGTGGGCGTAGGCATGCTGTGCCTATGCCCGCCAAAGTTTGTGGAATAATCTGAGGCTCAAGACGCCGGGTTCAAGATGCAGCTGAAAATGAGAATTTTATATTGTCTTAATGATGTGGGATTCTCTGGGTGGGTGGGTACTTCTCTATCCCTAAACCCTAAACCCTAAAACCTAAACCCTAAACCCTAAACCCTAAACCCTAAACCCTCAGCCCTAGATGCCAATGCTCATGTAGCCAAGTTCACATCCATGCTGCCGGCAATGTCCTGGCATGAACAGGGTTAGGGTTTAGGGTTTAGGGTTTAGGGTTTAGGGTTTAGGGTTTAGGGTTTAGGGTTTAGGGTTTCGGGTTTCGGGTTTCGGGTTTCGGGTTTCGGGTTTAGGGTTTCGGGTTTCGGGTTTAGGGTGCACGAACCAAAAACGGCGCCGTGTGGCAAGCAGTGTTGGTAGCCAAGCGAACAGATTGTAAAAAGGGTACCCTTCTTGTGGCTGGTTACTTTTGTAAGGGAACCTTGAACCCCAAAAAGGGCAAAAAGGGTACCACGGGGCTACCAAGGGTTCAGGTTCAAGGGGTACATGGCGGACTGCATAGGGCTTTTGGCGGCTCGGATGCAGTATATCCTGCTTCGGGCATCACCGATATTCTGAAGCCCTAACCCGAAACCTGATACCCGAGACCCTAAACCCTGA